CAGAGTTTTTCAACTTTATTTTGCAGATTACAGCCCAGGGAAGTATTACAGGTCACAAGTGCCAGCACTGTTGGAGGGCAGGCACCACGGCCAACTCTGTAGATAAGTTGTTCCAGGCTGCATCTGGGCCGTACAAAGCTACTTCACAATATCCATTTCTCACAGAAAGACTCGGCAGAACACAAACAAAGAGAGACACTTTTTAAAAGAACGAGGCATTCATTTCTTTCCCATTCCTTTGGCTGTAGTGTTTTGCTTTGAACTGGTGTGCTTGTGTCCCTTTGAGGAGCCATACCTGGTAAGAGGTCCACAAACCTTTTGTACTTATTCTCAGCACTGCATCTCCTGACCTTAGCAGACCTTTGAATACAGCCACCAGTTCACATTGGCTGCAAACTTGCTATTCAGTGTGAAGCAGTGTTCAAGGTTTAGCCTAGGTTAGGAAGAAGGTGGCTGCTTTAGCTAGACCAGCAAACTGTGTCTTCAGACTCAGGCATAGCTTGAAGCTGCAAAAAAAAGAGTGCTTCCTGCTAGCGTAGCTAGAATGGAGCGAGTTGTAGTGGCAAGGAGCTCTTGCCAGATAACGGTGTTACCTGGGTTTCTTGCTTGTACAAAAACATCATTAAAAATAATCATATACTCAACTAACATTACTGACCTCACAAATGCTTTAATACCTGGCCTTAGAAAAACAGAGAATGTAAAAAACTCAGAGAATGAAAAAAAAAAAAGAAAAAAAAAAAAGAAAAAAAGCCTTCTTTTCAAAGAAAGGCTCATGGGGATCCAAAGCTAGGAAGATCATTGCTGACAGCAATGGGAAACACTGGTGACTTCAGACATGGATAGAAGAATGATTGAAAGACACGAAGGTGGTTCAGGTGCCCCCATGGCAACGTATCATTTAAAGGGTAGCATTTTATCAGGCCTTTTTCACATGCCACCTTATTTGCCATTCCTGTATGCTCACATCTCTTGACATTTTCTGTGCACGCACAGAGAAGCCCACTTGGATGGATGGTCCATGAGGTAGGTAAGGCAGGAGCCAGCCCCCCCACTCCTCACACATGCACTTGTGTGGGAAAACCAAACCACGAGAGGCTCCCACTAACAGTAACATCATGTCATCATCCCTAAAGTGCTTTCTCAAGAAGGGAACAAAGCTTTGGTGAGGTAAGGTGAAGAGATAGTGGAAAAGCAAAGACATTCAGGCAGGAGCTTTAAAAGGCTGGAAACGTAGCATCAGAGTCTCAGCCAAGTTTCCCAAGACCCAGCAATTCAGGGCACTTTCTGCAGATGACTTGTCACCTTGTTGTCCTCTAGTGAAAAACGGAGTGAAATGGGCTCACCCTGAAGTGATAGCTACGAATGAGATAGAGACAGGGAAGTATTACTCTAGGGTAACTTCCCATCCTACTCTATGGTAAGCTAGTTAGCAGTGATCATTTGATGACAAGGCAGCCCACCTTACCTGGACCGCAGAGCAAATGCAACTCATTTGTAAAGTGAAGACTCCCTGCACATCCATACCTTACCTTCCCCTGTGCTACCTTCTTCTAGCTGTAGTCCTAGAGGCAGAAGCTTCAGAGCAGACACCTGAGGGCAGCTGTCCTCCCCAAGAGGAGACTTTGATCTCTCCTAGCTCTGAAAGCCATTATAATTTTATAACCGCTCAGGCACAGTAGTTTTGACTCAAACTGTGACTGTTCCATAGGAGTCTGCTAGGCTGAGTGACAGTGCATAGCGAAAACTTCTGTATAAATGAGACAGCCTCACCATAAATCTTGCTTAACAGATGCACACTGAGGTTGATAACACAGTTTGATATTGCAAGTATGACTCTCAAGAGAAGCGTGAATGACAATGGGTTTCATTTAATAAGTAAAAGGACTAAGGGTTTGTTTTGGTTTGGGTTTTTTTTATGTCTTTTATGAATTGCTTTCTAAGCACTGACTTTTCTCCAGGACTTTTTCATCCATGAACTAGTTAATGGCGTACAAACTTGAATAGCCTTAAGAGGAGCCTGTAGAGATTTAAAATAAAGTGCTGGTGAAGTATGAATTTTCTACTGAAACAACAAATGTGACATGAGAGGCTGCCCAGACACTGGGCCTGTTGTTCACAGCAGAGGCTTGGAAAGGCTGGACCTTGCCCTCTTGGAGGTGAATGTGTCAGGAGCAGCATCTTCTGCTGCTCCCCAGGGAGGACCTCCGCGGTGGCTGTGTCAATGAAGTTTTCCTCCACCTTTTGCATTGGAGGTCAGACGTAGAGTATACCCATATTTCTTAATTAGCACTTTCTAATCAACACCATCCTTTTCCAGGGTGGTTACAAACAGAAGGATCCATTGTCCACGCAGCAGATGAAACTTCAGAGAAGTCCCACGTGACACATGAATACCAGAGCAGGTGTTAGCATCTGCCATGCTTCGCTCCCACTTGATCTCCTGCCCATCCTCCTGCCTTGGCACCTGACTGCACCAGCCACAGGGACTTACAGGGCTTGCAGTGGGCCCCAGAGCATGAAACAGAGCCAAAGCCTGATACCCGCATGGTGTCACACACCACAGTTGTCGTCGGAGCAGCCTTAGTGCCCATCAGGTTGTGTGAAGCAGCGTGACATGCACAGCTGGTCAGCACCACCGCAACGCTAATCCTGAGGGAAAGGCAGCACTTGGGAATCACTTTGTGCTTTGAATTCCAGGAAAACTGAAGTTTTAAGGTACCACCTCATAAAAGAGTGAGAATTAAGAGGGAGAATCCTGATCGGCATCATAGTTGTCTTGGAAGTTTGAAAGATTTTTATGAGCTGCCATATATTTTTACTGGTTTCCCCCCATTTCACCACATCATTCATAGTCTATAGATATCTTGAAACTTACATGGCATAATGTAACATCAAAATAATGTTACAACAGTTACCCTCATTGAGGCCAATTGTTCCTACTGAATTGAGACATTTTATCTTGTTTTCTAGATTAAATCGGTTCCTTGATATGTCATCAAAGCATCAAACAATAAAAGCAGGAGATGCATTGTTCTAGTGATTAAATGTTGTGGCACATGCAAAACTACTGGTGTCATTAGCATGAAAAGAAAATCCAAGTGCAAAAATAGAAAATCCAAACCAGAGTTTCTCAATTTTGTCAGACAATTCCAAAGTTTTCTAAAGACGTAAACAGCAGTAAAAAAAAAAACCACTTTTTTTTGTTGTTGTTGTTGTTCTAAAGGGATTTTCTATTTTTTTGTGTTTACATGACAAAAGTATTTTCATTTTAAAAAATTCCACAGGCAGAGCCAGTGGGAAAAAAGTTCTGTGGGCTAGGTTGGGCAAACAGTGAAGCGATGAGACACTGCAGAAATTGCTGGCAGTGGGATGAATCTGCACCAGTGAGAGCGGTATCTAATCCATCTGGCTTGGGCTCCACTGCACTCAAGAAGTCCTCCTTTTGAACACGGAGATACCAGTCACTATGACTCCACCAGAAAAAGAGGTAGCCTCCCAGATTAGCTTATCTCAGTCTTCTTGAAAGCACCCCTAACTTCCTTGGCAGCGGTAGCCAAACAAGAGCTGTAAAATACTGTTTTCCCTGGTCTGGTTGAACTCGCAACTCAGCATATGTGGTGGGGAGCTCCCAGAATAGCTCTTGGTTGCCTCACCAGTCTCGGCAGCAGCTCGAAAAGCCTTTTGTCTTCTGGGACAACTTGGAGAAGTTTAAAATGTTTGGACTTATTTTGAAAGTACTCTGAAAGATAAGAATGATCTATTCCAAGGCTGGGTGAATTGAAGGTCACAGCTAAGGCATTGCACAATGCAACCAAGTAGGTTCAGCACAAAACTTGCACAGGATTTGATCAGCTCATCGTTGCTGCTGCTGCCTCTGCCTAAAATTCAGGTCAAAGCTGAGGCCCTTCCACCTGGCACCTCACCAGGCCAAATGCTCTCATCATTTGTCCTAGATTACCAGTGGGGGGATGCCAATGAGGTGGAGGACATGGGTCCCTCCCTGTCAGAGCACTGTTGGAGGAGCCTTCAGTCAAATCCAGCAAAACTGCTCCATTTCCAAGAAGCTGCAATTGCTGCCAGACAAGCACACTCTCACTGTAGGGAGGCTAACGCACACTTCATCCTGGTCAAAGGCTATTTTCTGACTGGATCTTGTAATATTTCAGGCTATCTCTTGTTAGGACAAAGCCTGAATAGCTCTTGCTATGTTAAACAAGGGATATCCCCAAGCTGTTCTTTACAGTGCAGTACTGCAGCGCAACTCTCCTGTGGGCTTTGCACAGACAACACAGCGGTCGTGCCCCCAGAGTCATGGGAAACTCCTCCCTGCTGCGTGAAAAGGCTCCTCTTTCTTGAAAATATCATTTACTCTTGAAAAATGACTCCAAAAAAACATATATATCTGTGGCTTCCCGTCAGGGTGAGGGAAGTTTTTTGTCGACACGTCTCATGTTTCTGAGCACGCTCTCCTGTGCCTTGGCCAGAGCCCTCGGTATAACTTTCTGCTGAGTCAGGCTGCTGGATTTCTTATCCCAAATCCCAAACGGATGGTTTCAAGTACTCCAGGCATTTTTCAAAGACATTTTGAAACCCAGCCAAGCCCACGGGGGGGGTGGGGGGTGTAACTCTTCTCTGGACTCATTTGCAGTTGGGCTGGTTGTCTCCCAGGACAGGCGAGCTGGGCTGCAGCTGCTGGGTGCAGCCGCTATCCCAGGGGACAACCCCTCCCGCCCCCCACAATCAAGTGAACTTTGCAATTTTTAGCAGCAGCAAATGATATTTGACCACCAAAACTACGCTGGCTTGGCTGAAGGGTTGAAGTCAAGAGTCCCACCTAAATATGCATTTACAGACTCCAGTGGATGTAGGATCAGGCCCCCTCCCCAGCCCCCAAGCCCCACCAGCCAGTTTCACCTGCTGCTCAGAAGTCACCCCTTCTCCAGGTCCTGTGCTTGGACGTCTGTCCACCACGCAATGAAACAGAGCAAAGGCAAATGTGCAATGTAGAGATCAATTATGCTTTATTTACATGCGTCACCATCTCTTTTACAAACTAGATTACAATTTAAAATGGAATACACAAGGCAATATCTACTAACACCAAGTGGAGTAAGCACTGCGTCTCTACTTCGTTTGGAAAGGGGCAGGTTTTGCTCCAAAACAAACTTCCTTCCAACCTCTGTGTAGTAAGGTAGTATATTCCTCCAGGGCAGCATCTTTTTTCTTGTTTTTACATATAAAATCTTCAGTAAGACTGCAACATGAGAGTGTCTGCTTTCAAATGAAAGTACAAGATAGCCCAAATGAAAAGTATAAACTGTTCAGCTCTTCGGTATGTAAAGACGGCCATGCGCGATAAGGCTGTGGATTTAATATTCTTCCAATTTACATGGCTTGAAACAAAAACAGATAAAACAGTTTTACAGATACTGTATACATATTTTTTCCAATCATGCAACTTTTTTTAAAAAAAAGTTAAACATGTGAAGCCAAATGTACAATCCATTTTTTCCAACCCATAGTAACGAAATGTATCTGGTCCCCCTTCGCATCTGTTGGCAATTCCTAAAGTATATCGTGTACTAGAAACACTTACAGGACACTGATTGCCAAGCAATGACATCATTTCAGAGAAATACATGACCTAAAAGGTAACGTTTTGAAGCAGTGGCACAAAAATTTCTTGAGTTAAGCAGTGGTCAGCTATCTAATCATTCTCAAGAAAATTTTTTTTTACAAAAATCATTAAATCAAGCCTCAAACCTGTGACTAGGAACTGCATAAATGTCACCTTTTAGACCTTTTGTTTAGACCAAGTGTTTAAACGGTAACTACATAATTGTGCTGGACCTTTATCTGTTTTACATGGTTTCAGAAGGAAAACTTCTATGCATAAACATGTTCAAAGACTCAAAGGCCAAATTTTCAAAAGGTAGGTTTCCAAAATTAGTTATTCAAGTCTGTATTTTGACACCTAAATAAGTGGCCCTTTGAATTCAGTGAGATTTATTTAGCACCTCTGGAGAGGAGGGAGTTTGCTGGGCACCTCAGCAGGCACAGAGGGTGGTGACCTTCCCCTGGCCCTGGGGGACCTGGCACCTCTCCTTCCTTTGAGAAGCAAGAAGGGCAAAGCAGCTTGCCCCCCATGACCGTGTTGGAGTCCCCAACATTTGGTGCCTGACACCAGGCACATCCATTTGAAAATTCTGGCTCCAAAAATGAGCAACAGAAACCAAACCAAACCGAAGAGGTTGGCCAAGTCTGCCCCTCATCATTAAGTGCTGGGATGTCCAAAGCACGGGCCCAAGGTGTCCCAGCCGCACCTATGGAAATGCTTTCCTTGACATTGCTGGGAGGCAGGTTAAGCCTTTCAGCTGCTAATGCTTTTTTTTTTTTTTAATAAAAAAAATCCATTTCTCTGCCATTGAAGGGCTGTCTCTAAATCAAGTATCTTTCCTCCATTTTCTGAACAGAGCAGACCACAGATTTTGCTCTTATTTCTGCCAGCAGGAGCTAGCTCCACTGAACTCAGTGGTGCTAGGTTGCCATAGCAAAGCAGAAGTTGCCCCCATTTGGTTTAAGCTAATGGGCTTTTCCTTCCCTTTGATAAGAACTGCATCTGTACCAAGAAAAAAAAAAAAAAAAAGGTTTTTGGTCACCTTGGCCATACTATCAAGTCAGGCCTTACTGGTGCTGTCAGCGACCTGTTCGGTGGTTCTTTGGGCAGGCACCCAAAGTCTCACCAAGGGCTCATCTGTGCAGGGGCCAGATGATGCACCCAGCATGAGGAGCCACTGAGTCAGCTCTTCTGGTGGCCAAAACCATGGGGCAGGGCACGAGCCTAGCTGCAGGGCAGCAGGTGTGGAGAACCTCAGGTAAAGAAGCACCAGAGAGAAATCTTTCAGTGTACACTCACATTTCAGGGTGTACTGGGAAGCTGAGAGTTAATGCTACACACTCAAGAGGAGGCTGGTGATAAAGCTCTCAATCAATTTTGGTAAAAAGTGCCTGCAACTAGACTCGATAAGCAAAACAAGCTCTAGGCCAGGTGACTACTGTGCCATACAAGCATCCTGGGTAGCTGGTTGCTGACACAGATGGGCAATGAGCATCAGCTAATTCCAATAAATGTCATAAACTAGTCTCCACACTGACAAATAGACCGCCTGGGTGTAAAAAGAAAAGAGAAATTTTTTAGAAGGCAAATGATAAACCCTTGGCTGCTTGGAAGATTTGATATGCTACAGGGCTACAATAACCACAACTGCACAGAGTCTACACAGTCAAAATTGCGGGAGAAACCAAGAGGTGCATCTTTACGAGAGAACAGCATGGGGGCTACGGTACAAAAACAAAACTTCCATGACACTAGGAGCTGTTGTTTCACCAATATCACCTCAGGGACCTGGAAAGTAAGGAGTGAGGAAGGGCCCACGAATGCTATTCTCTGTGTGTGTGTGTGTGTGTGTGTGTGCATGACTGTGCATGTGCGGTGGCAGTGGCAAGAGGGAGTCACTCCACATTGCATGGGACACAGGTTGGTGGGAACTCATGCACTGAGACTTTGGGTTAAAATGCTAGTTTGTTTTCCTAACATCCATGCATAATGATCCATTTCTGTACATAATAAAATATATTTATATATTTATATGCATAACGCTTTTATGCAAAGGAAAAAAAACTTCATATATCGCTTTGGAGAATTATGTATACACTGTCCTTATTCAGAACGTCCTCATACCAAGTTCCTATGTACCATTGATATTTTCCCCTCTCTTTTTGTATCCCTCCCCCCACAAGATACTAATAAAAAGTAATCAAACTTTCCAGATTATAGAGAGGATCTATACAGCACCATACCTTTTATTCATTATTATTCATTTTACAAAAGAAAATATTAGAAGCAAAATATATAAAACTGCCTTGTCTTTCTGTGTCATTTATCCTGTTACAATCTATGCTCATATGAAAAGCCATTTGTATAATACTGTCACCTTGCTATTCCCTCTCCTGCTTCTTCCGCCACAAAGGATTATACATAATGAGAAGGAAAAAATAATTAAGGATATGTCCAAAACAAACAAAAAAAGGATCACTGATGCAGTAATGCACCCTGCAATGACCTGTGTCTTAACTCCCCGCATTGCCACTGCAAGTCACCTGCCAATGCCCAGCCTCTACGCTTAGCTTTTCTGTGAAGTGGCATATTTCCCTTAATTTTCACTTTTTCAGACACATCTTTACAGGTGTTTATGTTCAACTTGTCTGGCAGCTCAGCTTATAACTCCTTACCAGCTTGCTGTGGCGGTAGGGGCAGCCTTGCTTAACATAAGGCAGGAGGGGAGCCTGCTCCAGCGGGCAGCAAATGGGCTCCTGCCTCGGTGAACATGAGGGCAACGGTACCCGCTGTCAGTCCATCCTCATGAGCCAAGAGGCAAACTCGCTAGCTTCCCTTGTTTTGCAATCAACCCTAGTTTGACGCTTATGGAAAACAGGGGTGTACCATTAAATTTAAGGAAAGAATAAGAAAGAAACAAACAAACCAACCCAACAAACAAACAGACCACACACATCACCTCTCTCTGGAATTCAGCCGGTTGATTGTTATAACAAATGCTGTATATTCCGAAAACCCTGACGTCTGAGCAGTGTTGGGTTATGATCGTTTCCTTGCACTTGCGCAGTACTTCAGATTCCCCAGGGAGAGAAAGCAAAAATGGTCAAAAATCTAAGGAAATCAAACTGGAGGTTGTAGGGGGGAGGGTGGGCAGATGGGGGAAATCTCCAAAAAGAAAAGCCAACTTAAAACATCCCATAAACCATTAATATATTGAAACACCACATACTCATTGACAAGTAACTACTGTAAAGGCTACATGTGTTCTCAACAGGATGGTGCTGAACATTGTCTCCACAGCAGGTGCTTGGCCATCCCAGAAAAGGAAGATTTTGCATACTTCATTATGAGTTCAATTCCCAAAAAAAAGAGAAAAAAAAAAAAGAAAAGGAAAAAAAAGAGGATCTTCACTCCGGTAAAGGGCCTATTAACAGTCTGCTTCATTAGGAAAATAATGCAGGGTTCACAAAGGTCATAAGCTGTAAACAGTATCACTGTCCACTTGCTGACAGCAGATTTGGCAAAGGGTTCTCTCTCTACATCTCGTGTCAGTTTGAGGGCCTGGAGAGGAAGAAGAAAAAGAAGAAAAGACAGTGAGACTGCTGCATGTAGGAAAAAAACCACAACAAAAAAGGCAACCAAGCAAACCTCCAAACAACAGCTTACACTGACAAGCAATTTTGATTTGTTTGCACCCAGAAGCTTCAAACTTATAGGAAGGAATAATCAGCACCATGACCTGTCTGAAAATGCTTTTCCCTTGCCAAGGTTTGAGTGTGCATCTTTGCTGTCTTAGCTGCTCGCAAGCAGGAAAGAAAAAACTCTCTCTCCAAAGAAAACAAATGGTCAAGTCCGATTTACAGAAACCCAGCGCATCGTCTATTTGTTAAGTGTATTTCCAGGTGAAGCACAGAAAGATCCTCCAGCTTTTCTCCATCTTTCACAAGCACCCTTCCTCAGAGCCACGAATTTCGGTTCAGACTTTAGAGTTCTCCATCTGCCTGCTCGTACAACACACCATCGACAGACAGAGTCCACCCGGCTACAAAACGAGGTTAGGGTCCAGCTTATTCTGTAGCCAATTTCTCTGCAGAGGGAAAGACAGACACTTTGGATGCAGCATGGAGATGACTACAAAGGGACACAGTAAGTAGGTAAAACACTGAAAACAGATCAACGTTTCAACCAAGGGGGCCAAGGGGTAAGATTTTTAAAGGTACTCAGCAGCTTAAAGATACAGGCAGGCACCAAGTATTGTTTTGGAAAGTACATACATTTAAACATTCCCATGAAATCCTTTCACATCTTCAGAAAGCCCACTCGGTAGCCATCCCCATTGCTGAGCATGTAACTCAGGGCTCTGAAAGGGCTTCTGAAACCAGGGCTTAGTCCCCCACACTATTTAGTTCCCCATACCCATCATTTTACCTGATATGAATGATGGGTGATTTTTTTATGTAGTGCAAGAACAAGGGGACACTTGATGAAACCAAAAAGCCATTTGAGTTGATTACAGGAATGTCTTTACTCTCAAAAGATCCTGGCATCAGGCACCCTCATTAAAAATGGTGGATTTGGGGGGACTGATGGATTAATGTGGACCAACATCTCCTGCAAGGGGGATCACTCAAAGGCTGTCACAAGATGACTCTCCTTCATTGCCCCTCTCCTTTCTGAGGTGCCAGGCATTAAACCTATGATAACATTTTATTAAAATGACCTATCCTGATAATGCTAAATGACTGATGGAAATTTAATCATTTCGTCTCATGGTTATTAGAGCAACAGCATGACAGCTGCTCCCTGTGCCATTAGGGGAGAACTTCATTCAGCACAGCTTAGGGAGCAGACAGATTGTGCGTTTCACCCAAACAGAATTTGGCTTTAGCCTTAATTATGTGGAGGGGTTTGGGGTAGACTGTTTTGTGAATAAAGGGATTTCCGACTGGATCAACATATTGATTTCTTCATTTTCAAAGGGCAAATTAACGCTCACTGTTCGTTAATGTGACTGCCTGGCAACGACTCCATTTGGTAAGTGTGTCCTGATGGCTGTAACAAGGTCAGCAGAAGTTAACCAGACAGGCCTGGCAGCCCCCAGTAAAACCTGGCTAGTGGTTTGTATGCAGCTCAAACCAGTGCATGCCCGTTTCTCTACTTCTCCTTAAAGCCTTAGCACCAGGGGGGCTGAAAACGAATGACTTCCCAAAGAGCGACCTCATCCGAAGGCAAGGCTCAGGTCCTGCAAGCCGCAGCCTGGCAAGCCGGCTCGTTCTCATGCAGCTGCCAGTTAACACTGAGCGCAGGCTTAACTTCAGCATGTGTGAGAAGTCTTGCTGACTTTGAATGAAGCCATTAATTGAAAGTAAACAAGTACAGAAACTCCTGATGAAGTACCAGAGTAGTGTTTAATGTTTAAATTAAAATTTTACGTAAAATATTATACTATGAAACAAAGTGACATGACAAAAAAATGGAGGACAGATAATGGTGAGCATCATTTGTGGAAGTGGCACTGCACAGTATTTTTTCCTGAGGATGCCCGTCTTTCAGACAGTGCCAACGTTTGGGACACAGACACACATCTGAGATGAAATTTGCGCATAGCAAAACCAAACCACGCTCCATTTTCACAGCTCTGTTTACATGGACTTTGCAAATGGATTAACAAATGAAAAGAAGATCAAAGTCTTAACCCCCCTGCCTTCAAACTACCACACCAAAGTCCACAACAGACCCACACACTCATTTTCTGTCTCACCACAAAAAGCCTCTGTCAACCCTGAGTTAGACACCTGCTGCTTCATAGCAATGAAAACTGTATCAGGCAGGGAAGCAAGCACTCCATTTACATCTCCATTTATCAGTGTTCCTCAACCACAACTCCCCAGTGTTCCTCTCTCCCTGCCCCAAATATCTCCAGCTGCATCCTGAACCACCACAAGGTTTTCTCCCATTCCTGACGGCTGTGGGAAAAGCTCATCTTATGGAGTGTCACCCTGAATTTGCAGAGGCAGACAGGGTTTCTCCTCTGGTGAGCCAGGACGATGCTGTTGTCTAAGGGCAACACACAGCTCTCCAGGTAAAGCAGTCCAGTCCCCACTTTATCCTTTTTCACAGCCTTTACTACTGGGGCCTGTTTGAAGGGATAAGAGCAGCAGAAGTATGAGCATAGGGAGTGATGAAAAAAATACACAGAACAGAGGTCAAGGAGAGATACAAGAAAGGTGAAGACTAGCAGGGCTAGGAGTTAGAGCAGCATTTGCTAACTTGCCACAGCAAAAGCCTAGAGCCCACTCTTATGTGTAGCATGGTTTCTTGCATCTTAGGCTGGGGGTAACATCCTAAAAGGGCACTACCGAAAAAGGTCACCTGCCTGTACTTCTTAAGCCACTCCCTGGAAAATTTAGTTCTCCCTTGAAAAGCTCCTCTGCCAAACTTGAAGTCCATTTTCAATCATCGGGGAGTGGAAAGGAAGGGAGAATTTTAGACTTTCCCCTGAAGTTTCTTAAGACTTCCTTACGACTTTCTTCTGAAGAAAGCAAAGGCTTTCTTTTGGAGTGCAGTCTTCCCAACTGCACTGATACCTGAGCTCTGTCACACACACACACACACACACACACACATGCACTGAAAGTAGAGGCAATTCCACTACGCGTGTTTTGATCCCCTGGGTACAGAAAGCTTGAACAAGATGCACCTGATGGACATTAGAATAAGCCATAGTACTATATCGAGCTATAATTTATGCAATCATATATGCATGTGGTTGGCAAAAATAATGAGTTTAAAACAGAAAAAGCAACAAATGAGGGAGTGGGGATTAACTCCTGCTTTGTGACATCCCACAGACATTTTGAACCCTACATCTGTTTATCATATTTGGTGGAAGAGTATAAAACAAGCAAGTATTTCTGTATTTTCTAATTCTCCAGCTTGTAAGCCGTTATGCGGGAGATGAGATGCCCACTTCTCTCCTCTTCTCTCCCATTCTCTACCTTACTACTGACCAGTTATAAATGCTACTCATTTTACTCAGTGGTTGAGCTGTTGGTGTGATTTCTCTACCAGCAACAACATTTCCTCATGTCTGTCTCACATCATTCCACCACTTAACCGCATGGCCATCACCCAAGCCCCACACCAGCTCATGTATCATCGGAGCAGCTCTAAAAGATCATCTGTTGCCTGTTGCTTTCTCCCTTTGATTCTCAACAGTCCCAATTATGTAGCACTGTAAATTTCTTCAGAATAGAAGGGTGATGCACCAATGCTCCCCAAAAGCAAGGCACAGATAACATCCACTGCTGGTAACTTTATCAGTACACTAACAGAACTACTGGCCCATACAGTTTTTTGTTAAAAGTTATGTGCTCCTTTACATAATTATGGTATAAGAAACCGCACTACCAACACACAGGTCCTCTTTATAGCAACTTACCAAGGACCTTCCGATTTGGCTGGAAGGCTTGTTGAGTGGATCACATCTTGAAAAGTATCACCACTCAGAAGTCTATAAAACAAGTGTTTTCCATGAGTACCACTCCATAATGACTCCTGAGGGACAGGAAATCCCAATAACTACTTTTATTGTCTAGAAACTGGGGATACAAACATTTTGAAGGGACCTTGCATCCTTTAGTGACAGATGTGCATTTGTTCTGGTGCCTCTGCCCCTTGATTTGCCATCACTGCCAGCAGTGTAACTTCTACTCCAAAATGGGGGTAGGCTCAAAAAGCAAGACTTGATTACATGTGGTTACAAGTTAATATTCTGCCCAAGGTTTCACAACTCAAGAATGAAGAACACACAGTGTTTAGAAACAAGTAAGGAAGATAATTACTGTGGCCAATCCTTCTATAATGACAAAATTGCAGCATGAGATTTTTTTTTTGTTCAAGCAGAATAAAAATTAGGAATCCCAATGCTATGGCAGGTATGCCGCAGGGACAAAATACAGGCTTAGCGTATGCTGCACTTGCATGGGTCTGAGCTGAGAGACAACACTGAGGTCAGGGTGCAAAGCCCAGGGATAAAAAAGAGCTGGCAACTTAATGTGCCTTCTTTCCTGAACTTTCAGGCATGTTGCAACTTCACAAAAAGTTCTACTCATAAAAATAGATCTTTTCCAGCTCAGAATCAGGGGCAGAGAGTGAGGGAGAAGGATGGAAAGAGGAAGAACACCAGCACAGAGCTAAGACTTATGGGAGCTAAAAAGTTGCTGTGCTGGTACTTCTGCAGGCACATAAAGCACGAAAGTGTCTCTCTTCCTTCTGTTGCTGCTCTTCCACTCCAAGAAACACTGCAAACTATAGAAGATAACCAAGTATTTTGGAAGTAAATGTAACTAAAGATAGCATATTGTTCTCTCACCCTGTATCAGCTCCCTGGGATGAAAGGCTTGCCCAGAATTGTAGTGAGATGCTGCAACTAGTGATCTGCATGTTATTCTTATATCCCACTTGTCTACAGAATCATAGAAAAGTCCAAGCTGGAAGGGACTCAGCATCACCAGGTTGAACTTTCCGTTGAAGGCAAGACCTTAGGTTAGGTTAATCAG